CCTCATTTCATGACAATCTTTTGCAACAATTTCTTATCTAATCATCGTTCTTACTATGATGATACAGTTCTCCTCCTACGTCAATCTTTGAGCGGTAATGTCACTCAAACTCATCATGAGAACTTGTTTTTGCTTTCTGGTGAGAGATTTCAGAATAGGGTCAAATTAGACTGGCCAAATATATTTCAAGAGCAAAATCTAGCGAATTCTTATATACATATTTTGGGTCATGCTAGTATTAATGGATTTCTTTGTGTCAACAACCTATATTCCACAATTGGACTGTGGAACCCAACTACCGAAGAATTGAAGATCCTTCCTCCTAGCCCAAACAAGTTTATACCATCTAATTTAGTTTATTCAGCTGATCCATGTGGATTTGGCTATGACCGTGATACGGATGACTATAAGGTGATTAGTCATGTAGAATTTGTTCTATTTATTGAACATGAAAACTGGAATCATGAAAATGAACATCGTGACCCTTTCTGGGAGATATATAGCCTGAGAAGTAACTCTTGGAAGAATCTTGAGGTCGATGTCGATGTACCCTGCAGTGATAGGGTTGACTATTTGTATTTGGATGGAATGTGTCATTGGCAAGGTGGTGGTTACTTGGTGTCGTTTGACTTAAGCAACGAGGTATTCTTTATAACATCTTTACCCTCAGAAATACCATCAGACAGGATATTTTATGAATATGATGTTACTTTGGTGTTGTTAAATGTATCTGTTGCTTTGATCTCGCATTTTAAGTATTCCTCCACATTTTGCATATCAATTTTGGGTAAAGTCGGTGTGAAGGAATCATGGACTAAACTTTTCATTGTTGAGCCCTTGCCTTACATTCTACATTCTATCGGAGCTGGGAAGAAGGGGGATATTTTTTTCCGAAGTAAAGATGAAGAACTAGTCAGGTATGATTTAAATACTCACATGATTGAGGAGCTTGATGTTAAAGGGATCGATAGATCTTGTCAGATTGTAATTTATAAGGAAAGTCATCTTTCAATCAACACAATAAATAATTAATTTTTTTTGTGTTTTTAGCCTTTTATAATTAATATGACATGTATAATGACATGATTATTTCTATAAAAAGAGCTGTAAAAAAATTAAAGATTATCTTAAATTTAGTAATATTAAAATTAAAATTATATAAATCATAACATAAAAATAAATATCTTTGTTATTTTCTTTATATTATATGTCTAGTTTTAGTAGGTCTAGTAGAAAAAATAAATTAAAATATATAATTTTTTTTTATCAATTTCAATAAAAAAATATCTATATACAAATACACATTAATTTTTTGACACAATATATGTCACATATAAATAAATTCGAATATAACATCTTAACATATAATTATTGATTAACAATCTCTTTAAAAAAAAATTCAAATAATTTTGTACATCGTATATCGTATGAATAAAATTGCTAGTTATCCATAATTACATAATAGTATCAGATAAAAGAAGAAGAATAATTATATAAAAATGTAAAATACAACTTTTTATCATGTGGTTGCCACGTTGAATTAATATGTGTTTGTTTTATCATTCTAACTTCGTTCAACTGAATTTTTCTACTTTTTCAAGACAGAAAGGAAGAAGCAAGTGATGTGTTATTTTTGGATTACGTTCAACGTAACTAAAAAAACAAACACACCCTTAATAATTCATTATCACATAACAATCCACGAGGTTGCTAATGTGGATGCTACCTAATTACTGAAGGACCTAAATTAATGGGAAGGACTAAAAATGTAAACAAATAAATTTACAAGGGATTGTGACTAGAAGATTTTTTTTTTTAGAAACTAAAACTAAAAATTGACTTAAAACGAGAGAAAAAAATATATTTCACTCTTAAAAATTATATAATATATTTACTATAAAACACTATTTATTATATTACACATAAAAAATTGTTTACATTTTTAAATAATTAAAACTTGTCAAGAGATTGTTAACGAGTCTTCTAAAAAATTTAATTAAGAAGAAAAAGAAAAATATTTTAAAATATTTATTATATTAAAAATACAAAAATTATTCAATAAATGTAGAAATTTGAATCTAATAATATTATTTTTTTATAGTTACTAATAAAATATAAACTTAGACATATTTTATTCATTGTAAAATGAATAAATTTTAATTTTACACTTTATAAAATGTCTTTTTCTGCTTATCTCTTGAAAAATTAAAATTATTATTTTTAATTTTTACTATTACGTAATTAATGAAAAATAAATTAATAATATCAACTAATACTCACTAATGTCATGGTACCTTTTAGGCTATTACCATGTAATATTTGTAAGTTCTAGATAATTTTATAAACCCATAAAAAATTATTTATTTGTTTTAAAATAAATACAAAAATTTAAATAGTGATTTTCTGTTTTAAAAGATAAAAATTAAAGAAAAAATTTATAAAATTAAAATCAAATTTTCTTTTTTTATAGAATAAAAATAATGATGCAAATTTTTGAAAGATAAAGAAAAAAATAATAATTTTACAAGTATAAAAATAAAAACTCAGTCACTTTTTAAGAAATAAAAATATATTTGTCTTAAATATATTAAATATCGTTTCAAAAGTATTTTTTTTTATTTGTCTTAAATATATTAAACGCGGTTTCAAAAGTATTTTGAAAGTACTGATTCAAAGACTTGTTTTTAGTAAAATATATTATTTTTTTATTCATATTTTAATTCACTTATTAATTGCATTCAAAAGATATATTTTAAGGAAAAAACTAGAAAAAAGGCGTCAGTTTTTTGGTTGAAAATTTCATACATAAAGTTGACAATTATTTTTTAACGTTAATAACATATTTTTACTAATTAAAATTCATTAAAAGTAATAAATTTTGGAAAGTTTCGTCACAAGTCTTATTTAATAAATATTTTCTTCTTAATTTAACTGTGAAATTTATTAGAATTTATGACTTTCCATAAATTTTAATAAACCACACAAAAGTGTACAGTGTACTCCTATCAATAACATAATATCAATTTAAGAAAATTATTAAATTAAGTTTAATATCGTGAATAATTTAATAATTTGTACAGCTACAGCATGAATAAATTTTTGAAAGAAAAAAAAAAAGAATAATAGGGCAATGCATTTAATTTGAAGAGAAAAAAGGTAAAAAAAAAAAGAGATAGTGAGAAGTGTAGGTTGTGAGTGGTGTGGTAATTGGTAAATGAGTGTTACCTTTCTCCCTCATTCGTAAGAATCTTCATCATCTTTCTGAATTCTCGAATCTCAATCCTTATCTGCCTTGGTTCGCATCCCTCCCTGGGGCCCCACCTCCTCCATCATCCAACGGCTCAGATCTCTCCGCTGGATTGTGCTAGGGTTTACCCTCTCTCACCTATAACCCTCTCTCACTCCTCCTTTCCTCAGCGCAGTACCTGCTGCTCCCTCTCTTTCTTACATCACCCTTTTCGATTCTCCCTTTACCCTCACGCGCCGCCGTGATATCCGCCGGCGGCCTCCTTTATCCGCCGCGCTTCCATCCCTTCCCTCTCCTCGCCTTTCTCGCACACAAAAACCAAAAAAATATATTATCGATTTCTCCCGAGGCCGCATCTACCTCACTCTAGCTAGCTTTTCTGTGCTTCCTAGGGTTTTATTGTTGTTAATAACAAGAGGAGGGGGAAGACAAAAAAGACAAAAAAAAAAGGAAAAAAAAGGGGAAATTATTTTTCGGTTAACGTTGCTGTTGGTGTAGTTGTTTTTTGTTGGTTGAGATGGCTCAGGTTCAGGTTCCGCCTCAGAATGCGATGCCCGGTCCCAATGGTGCTGCTGCCGCCGCCGCTGCTGCTGGTGGAAACCAGTTCGTAACGACGTCGCTTTACGTCGGAGATCTCGACCCGAACGTCACGGACTCCCAGCTCTATGATTTGTTCAACCAATTGGGCCAAGTCGTGTCGGTTAGGGTTTGCAGGGATTTGACCAGTCGGAGATCGCTCGGTTACGGTTACGTCAACTATAGCAACCCGCAAGATGGTTAGTTTTTTTTTTTTTTTTTTTTTTTTTTGTTTTTTTTTTTTTTTTTTTTTTTGTGTTTCGTTCCTTTTTTTGTTTAGTGTGTGCATTGGAATTTTGTTTTTTTGTTTTTTCTCTTAATACTTTATCATTTCCTGTATTGGTGATTTGATGATGAAATTGGTTTGTCGAATTTCATTTCTGAATGAATGGATTGGTTCTGGTGCTTTTATTCATGTGTGCATTTTGGATTAAGGATTTCGAAAAACGGGATTTCGGCCGCAAGGCCGTAACTATGCTGCAACTGTGGTCGCATTGGCCGGATTTGTTGGCGATTTCCGGCAAGGAATTCGTCAAAACCACTACCAGTTTAAAACCTTGTTTTGGACGCGAATTTCGTTTTTAAATTGTGGTTTGACTGAAAACTGTGTTAGTGTTAATTCTCTAGGGATTCACTCCAGCTATTATAGTTTGTGTGCTGTTTTGCTCTGGTGTAACCGAATGAGGAGACGAAACAGAAACGCGTGAAAGCAGCAGGAGAATTTGGTCCTGTTTGTTTATTTATTTTTTCCCCTAAAAAAAGCGTTTTTTTTAATAAAGTAAACAGTTTTTTTAACTTTTGTAATGTATTTTTTTAAACTGCCTTTTTAAAAAAAATTCTATACTTTTTTAAGAAGCAACTCTTTTTTGCATTTTTTAAAAAATCACTTTTTATAGAATTGCATTTTAAACAAACTGACCCATTATTAGCCTATTTGCTATAAAGATGGGCTGGTAACATTTGTTATCCTAATTAATGTGTCATGCCTTTAATTTCTTTTATTGCTTGAGGCCTTGAGCTGCTCGTGCAGTCAGTCTGTTATTTTGATGTTATTTGTAATGTTTGTGGCAAGCTTTATTGCTCCATAAATCTTGACCATGTTTGTTGCAGACATGTCTGGTATGCCTACTGAAAGATGCACTGCTAATGGCATTTTATTTATGAAGTAAAACACAAATTTCTTTGCAATTTTTTTTCCATGGGAAAAAGAAACTTTGCATGCTGTCACAGCTAATTTTTTTTAACATTATTTTTCTGAAGTCTAAAAATTGACCAGAAGACATTTGCACTACCGGATGAATTTAATGTAGGACTAAACTAACTTAGACATAGTACCGTAAGTATTGCTGGTGTCGTTCTTCAATTAGAAATAAAGTTTTAGCTCAGTAATACACTTGACATTTAATGGAATTCTTTATTACACATATTATCGAGGTGAAACTCCAATTCTAATTGGAGAATATTACTAACAACACTTATGGTACTGCATGTAAGTTCCATCCTTTAATATAACCCGGACATTTCAATGTGTGAATGGATACTTATTGTAAGCATGAGCTAATCTAATAATTGCAGTATAAATCTTGTGGTAGCTACAAGCCTATATGAATTGTCTAGTGTGCTTTTGGGATCACCATGTTCTTCAGTTGGCAACTGTTAAGAAAATATCAAGAATCTGATGTGTTAGTGTATCTGACCCACAAAGATAGTACTTGCTTTCTCACAACCTAATTCATATTGATAGGATATTTTAGGGAACTAGAAGTCTTTTTCAGTCTTCGTAAATTCTCTATTGTTAGTGGATTTGCAAAGAGATGGATTTTGAATTCCTCTTCTATTTGGCTATTGATATTAATAATTTATGTATTTTTTAATCTCTCTTTTGTGGTTGAGCTCTGCCTTTCTCTTCATGTCTTGGATTCATGATCTTTTTAATTAGCTAGATCCATTGGACTTTGGAGTTATTTAAAAACATGTGGCAATCTGTTTTTTGAATATGTAGTCTACCTTTGGTGTTTGGTAGAGCACAAAACTCTGTAATAATTAGGTATTCTGTTGATAGGATAATATATTCACATCATTTCATACAATGTCATTAGAAATTTGTCTTTTGATGACTCTGTTCATCAACAATAAGCCAGGTTATCATGATTTTTATACATCAGAGGAATGATTAAAATATTCTAAGAGGTGGTTTGTTTTCTTATTATA